CTTCCTTGAGGGGTCCCACCTTGAAACTTTAGGATTCCTCTTTCCACTCAACCAGGTAAGGTGAGCAGAGTTCAATCTCAAATTTCACAATTACCTAATCGTTTGCTATAAAGCCCTTCAAGATTCGCTCTTATTCACAAGGAGACAGCAAGCAACAGAAGTAATGCAGCTCAATTAGGTTTGATTCGAGGAAGAGTAGCTTCAATTCCTTGTTTACTTTTGCAGGCGATACTAGATTATTATAATCAAGGGGGAAGCACTAAACCCGTAGGATTATACAGCGCCTATGGGGGGATGGAAGGCATTCAGGCTTAATTCAGGGAACTGGAGCACAGATCCAATTCCCTAGATCAAGAGCCCCTCACCAGCGTCAAGGAGCCTTCCTTGAGGGGAGGCGATACTAGAATCTGCACGAGTGTCATCCACTGAAAACACAATCTCCAGGCGAATATAAACGAAGTTTTCGAATGGGCCACAGATATGTTAAATAAGGGCAAATATCAGTTACTCCGTTATAGAAAACTAAGAAATAATATACAGAATGGAAAATACCACAATCTCTAACCACACAATAGAACGAAAAATAATATCAAGGACTTAGGAATGTTAACGTCAGATGATTTCACCAACAGGATCACAAGTGTTACTATCACATCTTCGAGGAAAATTAAAGGATGGATTATGAGAACTTTCAAAACAAGGGATGCCATGCCAATGATTCTGTGTTAAGTCACTTATTCTCTCTAAGCTGGAATACTGCTGTACACTAACAGCTCCATTCAAGGCAGGTGAAATCGGAGATCTAGAGAATGTACAGAATGTTCTTATGTAGAACTTTCACTGTATGTATAAGTTCAGTCAAGCACTCTAGTTACTGGGAATGTTTGAAACTCCTTGACCTGTACTCCCTGGAATGTAGGCGGGTAAGATGCATCATAATCTACACCTGGAAAATCCTAGACTGGTCCCAAATCTGCACACACAAATCGCTCCCTACGAAAGCATGACTAGGGAGACGGTGCAATATACTCCAAGGGCGCCACGAGTACACTAAAAGAAAACACAGCAAGTGTTCAGGGCCCAAGACTGTTCAACAGACTAAATCATACTTGAGGGAAATTACCAATAAACCCCTGACTGCCTTCAAGAGAAAAATGGAGATACCTAAGGCAGTGCCCAATCAGCCGGGCTATGGTTCGTACGTTGGACTGCGTGTATTATTATTATTATAATCAAGGGGGAAGCGCTAAACCCGGAGGATTATACAGCGCCTGGGGGGGGGATGTGGAAGGCATTCAGGCTTAATTCGGGGAACTGGAGCACAGATCCAATTCCCTAAATCAAGAGCCCCTCACCAACATCAAGGAACCTTCCTTGAGGGGTGGACTGCGTGTAGCCAGTAGTAACAGCCTGGTTGATCAGGCCCTGATCCACTGGGAGGCCTGGGCAAGGAGTGCATGTTTAAAGATGAATAGTCTAAGGCCACGGATGATAATAGTGTTGATATGAATGAATGAGAGAGAAAAAGAAAGAAAAAAGAAAAAGAGAGAGAGAAAGAATGTGTAAAGAAATATCACAGCCACCAGTATAGCTATCTGCCGACCTGATGCCTTAAACCACTCAGCTACAGCTGCCTCATAACGTTCAGTTCACAAGCAAGCCCCAGGCATGATCTCCAGCTATTTCATACCCTTACTTTATATTCTTGCCTAACGAATGAAACTATACTCAACGCCCTTTGCAGGAACAAGCAAAAGTATATGCAAAGAAATGTTGCAGCCAGCAGGATTTGAACCCAAATTGAACCCAATTTGCACATACTACTTTTGTTTCTGCGAGTGACACTGATTAAAGTATTGCTTGTAAGGTCAGAATATACAGGAGAATGAAATAGTTGGAGACCACGCCTGAGGCTCAAGGATGTGCCCGGCGTTAGGAGAAACATGCCTTGCAGTCCAACAAAACTACCCGAGTGGTTTAAGGCGTCAGGTTGATAGCTACATTCGGGGAGAACTGCCTATTTGTTGTCCGCGTTTTTTTTTTTTTTTTTTTTTGCATATACTTTCGCTCGTTTCTGCGAGGAGCATGAATATAGTGCTGATCATGAGGCCAAAACATGCAAGAGGAGAATGAAATGCTGGAGACCAGATGCACATGGAAATCACTCCCTACGAAAGCACGAGGCTCAGCAGACGGTGCCAAATGCCCCAATGAAAAAACATGAGTCTTGAGTAAACCTGATACAATAAGTGTCTGGGGGCCTAAGATTATTCAGCAGCCTTCCACCATACTCAGAGGTACGTTTATTTAGGTCTACACAAGTACAATTATCATACCTAGTAACATGTGTGAATTACCTAGGATAGCCCAAAACAAAGTTGACAACAGACCCCATGCTGTCTTCAAGAGGAAACTGGACAGGTTCCCGAGGTCAGTGTCTGAACAGCTAGGTTGTGGTTTGTAACAGATATTCCCCACACTAGTTAAGGTTCATGTTTAAACATCGAATTATATATCAAAACCACATTAAATGCGGATTAGTTTAGTCTCTAAATACACTCCTACCAAAAGCTTAAGTTTATGTGATTTTTATATTATTATTATTATTATAAAAAAGAAGCGCTAAGCCACAAGGGCTATACAGCTCGTGATTTTTATAGAACAAGACACCAAGGTCAATGCAGCTTAGAGTTCATTCTAGTATTTAATGCTAACTTTGTCCATTACTCACCGTCTTAATACACTACATACATATAGACAATAAATGAGTCTTAACCACGAGAATACAGTAATACTATTCCACAAGTTGCAATGGTCGGCTTGAGCAAAATGTGGTTCACAGGGAGCACCCCACACACACTTGCCACCCAAGCTATCTACAAAAACTAGTACCACTGGGTAAGGAAAGAAACGTGTCACTGATCCACTTCAATGAAGGTTTAGAGCTCGACTCGTAATGAACTCTCAAAATCCTGCCGATACCTGCAAGGTAAATTCTAAATTCTGGAAAAGCTTTATTCAGGTTTAAGCTAATTATTATAACCTAACAAAGTCAAACAGTAATTTATTTCAGTCAACGTGGAGTTTAAGTCTTGGTCACAACTCTCTCATTATATTATTTAAAATTCAAGAATATGAATGCCCTGACAACAATCATTAGATATTTTCAGAATATGGCATTTATTTTGCCACTTATAAAACCAATTTTATCAAATTTAATATAAAAAAAAATCTTGTGGTACTGCAAATAATTTAAAATCAAATATAAATGAGAAAAGAATATTAAGAAAAAAGAAAGACGGTAGTTTTTAAATTTAACATGTCAGAACCAATCAACGGTTAGTATCGAGTCATGTAAGGTGCCAGGATAATTACAGAAGCGTAAATAATGACGCAATGAATGTAGTAAACAAAGAAGCGTCATTCCTTTATCTACCGCTGACGGAGTAAGGTTAAGTTACGTTTGATTATTTTTGATCAGGTTACATCAAGTTTCCTTATCTTTCTTACTATTTCCACAAAATAAACCCACCTAATATTTGGACATTTTAAGAAATAAATTATTGACTCGGGCCAGGACTGGGTCAACATTAACCTTTATTTCCATAGGGGTCCATTTTCTTTGTATCTTAGTCACATATGCAAGTCTTAAAGATAAATTATAATCAAAGAAAGCGCTAAATCGACAAGGGTCATACAGAAAGATAAATTAAGTTACATGTATATTGAATCTGTATTATTACATTCAGCCAGAGAAATGGAAGGTAAATCAGATTCGATCCAAGAAAAGGGGAGGGGGGAGACAGTTCCAATTCTTTGGTTGAAAAAAACGACACCAGAATCAAGGCACCCTTTTTAAGGGATGTACAACGGTACTGAACAAAGCAAAACAATAAATAAACGCAATTCAGAAACCTTAAGAATGTACCAATGACCTACTGCAGTCCTGACAGCTTTTCTCCTCCCTCCCCTACCTGGTAGGTTAAGGAAGAAATTAGTCTCCAGGTTTTTCTGCAAGGAAGGCGGTTGTGTAGTAACGATTTATTTGAAAGTAACAGCCAACAGACGCGATGAGTCAGTGTACGATAGGTAAAGGTGAGAGTGCGAGGGAGGGGGGAGAATAAAGAGGATGGGGGTCACGTATGGAGAGGAAGAGAATAAAGCTGGGAAGTAAGAGGGATTTTAACAGAACAGAACAAACAAGGATTATATTCACAATATTGCTGCATTCATGGGGAAGCGCTAAATCCTGCACAATGGTAGGCAATCAGGTTTGATCCAAGGGGAGGGTAACTCCAATTTCTTGGATAAAGAGCCCTTCAATACTGAAGGGAAGGGGTGCTCTGGTAATGTTTAGATGTAAATGACAATATTAGTGTTCATTATAATGCTCACAAAGCTCTAAATGGAGGGAGGGAATCAGGAGAGAAGAGACTTTAAGAGAAAGGAGACAATGAAGAGGGGGAGGAAGAGAATCAAGAGAGGAGGGGGTTACAGGTAAGTCTGCAGGGTGTACAGGCGTATCCCAGACACGTAACCACAGTCTGCACCACTTGCCGGCGCAAATTGACTTTACGAGGATAATATGGATGCCTGTCTAACCAGTTAACGTACCAGGTAAATAGTACATGCTAATTTTCGGTAGGTGCAGTTTACGGGTAAATGGAACCGACTACAACATTATGTTCTCATGTTTACGGAGAACAAGGTGAATGAGGCCGCCATGCTGTGGTAAACATGCGGACCTACACTTCCCACGTTGCTCCAGTGAATATGAATGAGCAGCGGCTCCTTGCCAACCTGTGTAGTAGACTACTGCCACTACCCTCACCCCCGGTACCGGAACCTAGCAGTAAGACAACGCCACACCGTCGGAGATTCAAAAAACCTTTGAATGTAGACAGTTCCAGCCCGGACCTTTACCTCCAACGGACGCCGAGCAGAGCTTCCAGTACAAAAAAAAAAGCTCACTTAACCTGACACTTGAAACATATATTCACCTTGAGCTGTACAGGTCCTTCAAGTGTATTTCAAGGATTCCTCTTGACCCACGAAGTACACACACTGTTTACATGTCGATATATTTACGTGACTAGACAAATAGAGAGAGATACATATGCAACATATCTCCCAGTCACTGGTGAAGGCGCCACTGAGCTCCACCCAGTTTACCCTGCAGGTCGATGCTGGCGCCGGGCGGGGTAAAACAACGTATCGTACAGTTGATTTCATAAACATTCCTCACTGTTAATTTAATACAAGCAGTACGATTAATTTTAAAACAAATATTGCAGCATCTATGCTATTATAAACAAAGGAAAAGTCACATCTTAACGTAATGTGGTAAATTTACGCGCCAAAACAATGCTGCGGAGAGCCGGTATGCCAGACTCACGAATATATAATGGCTATTGTATATATTATTGTTATGCCTTAAACAAAATAAGTTTTCCCAGAACTCTAAATAAGAGAATATTGTTCATTTGCAGACAATAAACAAATAAATTTAACCCGTTCATTACTGCAGAAATACATAAAACATTACTGAGAGCAGCACGTCTGCGCGACCACCACATGGCAGACACACGTCAGGAAAATAAAGATCTCTGTATTCAACGTTATTTACGAAATCTTAATTGAAGTAACCGTAAGTTTAAATAGCTGTACGATCAGAAAGAAACTGTCCGCCTGAATTGAGTTAAAATAAAAATAATGCAAATCACGTGATTTAACTCAGGCTGGGCGCATAACGGAATGGACTCTAGTTCGAGTCCAAGGCGGGCTGGGACATTTGGGCAAGTACTGGCCCCTTAACACCTGCTGCCCACGTTCACCTACCAGTAATAAATACCTGTGTTTGTCGGTTGCCAGTCGCATCGTGGAAGACCTAAATGAAAATAAGACAGTCTACCGAATGACTTATTAACCTTCCTAGAGAAATGAAAGGCAAGGTTACCTGTAGTCGCTTCCGGAGGTCACTGCTCCCCCTGCCCGGTCCCAGACCAGGTCTTCTGGTTGCTGGCTTGATCGATAAGGCTGTTGGAAGTACCACCGCCAGCAGTCCAACGTATGTACCACAGCCCGGCTGATCAGAAATTAATTTGAGAAATTTATCCGGTTTCCTCTTGAAGACAGCGATGGGTCAGTTGGTTCTCTCTCTCTCATCTATGAAGGGAGGATGTTGACGAGTGGTGGTCCCTTTACACTTATTCAAGTCCCTTTCAGTGTATTCGTCACTCCCCTACTTTTCACTAGAAATATCTTGCATCGACTACCAAGCCTCTTACTTTCTTACGTAGTAATTTTGGCGAGCAAATTTGGGACCAATTAATCTAGAATCTTCCAGGTATAGGTCAGTAAGAGTTCGTCAGGAAACAGGACAAGTATTTCTTGATGCGGGTCTTAGATATTGACCCGCCGTTGGAGCTTTTGGTCATCTGACCGAGGCCTTCCGCTGGCTTACCGTCAACCCCTTTAAAAAGTATAGTTATAATTATAGCCATTTAGTTCTATATTCCAGTTGTATATTATCATGCATCTTTCTAGAATACTTTCGAAGGACTTTCAAGTGCTCCGGTAATTTACGTGCTTAACTGAGTTTAGGAAAAGGAATATTCTACTCGTCAGGAGAAATGAGTAAATTTCTCCTATCTCGAGTTGTAGGTTATATGATGACTAGTTCAGTGGAGCTTTTGTTAATTTGACAAGAGGCCTTAAGTCGACTTTCTGGACCACCCTGTAATAATGAAAAAATATATACGACAGTTACTCGGTGGATATTGGCCATTAATTATAGTTTGATTTGTACAATATTTTAGTTTTTAGTTGATATATTTTGTTGTGCAAATGGTAAAAAGATTAACCTAACAAAACCCACCTAACCCAACGTAAAATATCCTAACCAACATTACTACGGCCTCAGTCTTGGCGAGTCTTTGTTTACATTCGGCTGGCGCGTGACAACCTAATATTAAGTGTTAATTGGCTCAGAGACGCACATGGATCACAAAACATCTGCAATATATGCAAGGATAACTAATCTAAGAACTGCTTTCAAAAACCTCAATAATCTTCAAAATTCTCTTCATGACATACGTCGGACCGATCATTGTGCATGCGGCCCCAGCATGAAGCCCTCACCTCGTCAAACATGTACTGAAATTAGAAAAGTCAAGAGGTTTGCACAAGGGCTAGTCCCAGAGCTGAAGGGATTGAAGAGACTAAACGGTATGAACTTTATTTTGATTTTAGGACTAGGGAAGACATGATTGTGACATACAAGATACTCAGAGGATTTGATAGTTTCATATGAACGTTAGGAAGTATTTTTTCAGCCTTAGTCACGAAACGAAACGACCTGGAGCGAAGCTGTATATAGCTTTAAGAGGAACATTTAGGGTCTAGAAGCCAGGAGTGGACCTAGTAGTGACCAAGGAGGAGGCCATGAGCTGAGACTACTCCTGCAATCATATATAGGCGAGAGTAGATGGGGGGGGGTCAGATTTTTTTAAAATACAATGCATAGGAGCGAAGGGTCATAAATGAAAGCTAAAGACACAGATGCGCCACAGAAATAAAATTTATTTTTCCGGTCTCAATGTGGTAAATAAGAGGAATTAACTAAATAAGGAAGTGGTAGAGGCAAACAATACATAGTTTCACGAGTACGTATGATGGGTTCACGAGAAAAGACCAATAAATACCGGCGACTGTAGCTTAAGAGGCAGAACCAGGAGCTAAGAATCGACCCTCGCAGGCAAAATTCGTTGAGTACGTTTATATATACATTCAGAGACTAACCAATGGGAATCGCCCCTCGATCACTCCAAGCTATCAAATCCCTTAACACGAGTGTCTCGCCTGCCTCAGTCCTTGTAGCAATCCCTAACTCAAGTATTGTGCCCCTTGTCCTTCTATGGTATATATATCAAAACAAAACAAAGGCTGTGACAAACACCATCTTTAATAGATTTAAAATTTATTGACGTTTAGGATGTTTCTTCATACATATTACAAAAAGGCGATGTCTATAAAGTATAGACATCTCCAGAGAATACTAGAAGCTCTCCCCCTCTAGCAGTCAGCCTTTTCCTGATTTTTGTAACAAGTTGTCGGATTAAGATCAGGTCTAGTTATCACTTGTATTTAGTATATTGGAGTTTTGGAATTACAACTTGGTGATGATAATCCAACGAAATAAAAATTGAGATGTTTATTAACAAAGTTGTCTAAGAGGACAAAATCAAAGTAAATGAATCTGATATAATATAAGAAATAAGCTCCTACACATCTCTTGTAGTGCAAAAAGAACTTTTACATATGGTAATATAGTGCTGAGGGCACTTTTCATATCAGTATGACTTTAGTACCGTCTGGTACGTTATCATCAATTATAAAAATAAAACTAGCATATACCAGCGTGTGTGAATGCGAGTTCTAAATGCTCGTTATGTCTCAGTAAGCCTCGACCCGACTTGGACTTAAACAGTGATTGACTAAACGTCGTCAAATAATCTATCTTCTAGACCAACAAGGCAATCAAAACAGCTTGCTTGAACAATATGACTAATCATTCGCCAACAGAAATAATGTAACAAGCAGCAGCACAGCGTCAGGAACAAGGAGACAAAATAACGACCCTAACTGGGGACAATCAGCAGATCCTCCAGAAAAGCCATAAAGCTCCCTTAATACTGAATCTAAGTTCAGTATAACCAAAGCCCCGACTACGACGGTGGGTAGATGCCAACAAAATAGGTCAGAAGCTTTAGCCTGGGACCTGGAGTGCCATTATGACACAACCTCAGCAAAACGTCAAAAATCACTATGTCTGAATTAAGCTCTGTTCACAGAGTTACAAGAAGTATGTTTTGACTCACCAGCGAAATCATACTCTACCAAAACAGTCTCAATAACGAACAAACTGCCAGACAAGAGAGATCCCTGGAGAGATGGAGAGAGATGTTGGTCGAGCGATGACCAGCTGTGGAGAGAGGGATGAAGGGAGGACAGTCTCCAAACTCAGGTGCGATCACGTGACTCTCCCTTGGTACTCCAGAGACGCCGGTAGGTAAATAAGCGAGGTGATAGTTAGCTAAGCAGTTTGTCAATCCAGGCAGCCAATCACATCTCTCAAACAGTGAAGTGTAGATGTTACATCCTACCTAATGACATAGCCAAGTCAAATAGTATAAAGCAAGATATTTTAATTTTAGCTATTAATGAAAATATCAGCAATATAACATTATATGAAAAGTTAAGTATATACACTATAAACATTGGGCCCTATTCAGGGGGCACAATAATACATCATCAGAATCTAGAGTATATTAGAAAAGGTAAGGCACGATAAAGATATTCAAAATAATGTCTATCTTGAGTTGAGTAAAGCAACTAAGATTAAAATGTCTTTGCATACAAACAATAGATTATACTAGAAATATCAAAATCAAATTGAACAGTTTAGGTAGAAAAAACTCAAACACTATACAAGCAACACAAAACGTAACAATATAGGTTAAATTGCAATTAAAAATTTAAATCTAATACACAGTACAGAATAACAAGAGAAGAAAATATATTCACATAAATAATTTCAAATTATTTATTATTAAAGATTAGCCGGTATTCTCCCGGCCCGGGCCTTTTCCAAGTGGTGGCCCGGCCTTGGCTCCCTCTTTAGGGAGTGTCTGAGACCTAAGTCTCCCATGGGAGGAGGCACAAGTACCTCCTCATCTTTGGGACCAACTGTCCCCAGGCCTAGCCACAAGCTAGACCTCTCTGGTCTGCCATCCCCGCCCCAAGGGGGCTAATGGGAATGACAGTCTTATGAGCTAAAGGCTCGGGATTAGGCACCTACCCTACCCTAGAATGGCTGGGCATGGTGTCGATGACAATTTTAAATAATCCATTTCGGAACCTAATTTAATTTTTCATTGAATAAAGTATTCACAGAGTAATGTTATGTAAATTCATTAACAATATAAAACAAACTCAGCTTTTAATATTAAATTAACAAAAATTTTATAACAAGTCTTATAAAGATTGTAATAACATTACAATAGATAAAAAATATTAAATATATAAGGTTCGTATGCATTTCTTCAATGGTAAACTACGGCAAATTATTGACGATGAAGAGTTAAATTTATTTTTCTTAGATATTAAGCTCTGATT